GCTTCAAGGCTGTGTGTGTATGGTGTGTGTGGGGGGGGATGGCAGTCTTAACAGGACTGGGGCTGCAGTGCTAAAAGAAGCAGTACCCTTTCTCCCTGCACCATTTCCTGACTGAAAGATCTTCTGAAGCGGTCACTATTCATTTAAAATCTAGACCACCTCTCAACCTGTTTCCAAGGTGGTTCACAGAAAGATAAATTCAAAAAATGTCAATACAATCTTATAACATAAAAGAATAAATAAGCAGGGATTAAAACAGCATTTAAAAGCCAACACAATTACTGGTCAGTATCAAAAGCCTGGAAGAATTTTGCATGATGCTTCAAATTTTAAAGAATGTCAGGTGCATAGCTGCAGGGAAGCAATTCATAGATGAAGGAACTATTTGTTAGTTTGAGGAAAGCAGGATAGTAGCTTTTATTAAGGGAGCAAGCAATTTCAAATGTGGAAGCTGCACGGGAGATGGGTTAAACACCTCTCCTTCCAATGCCAAGGACCTGATCCAATGCCTCCTTCTCCTCAGGGTGCTTTGAAGCTATAAGAAAACAGATCTCATTACCATAATTAATGACCATTAGAAAAGTCATAAGGAGGCAGCAGTTGCACATTGCTAAACAGGAGAGGGAAAAGAAATGGGACAACAGTAGTACTGGAAAGATTTATTTATTGTTGGATTTATATCCCACCATCCCCGCAAGTGGGCTCAGGGTGGGTTAGAACAGTTAAAATACAATATAATAATAAATACAATTCATACAGAGTTAACATTTCAAAAACCAACACATAGCAAAAATTCAATTCCCAGCATCCACAAACGCCTCCCAAAAGTGCAGGGCATATGATGAATAAACAAGGACCCATTTAATGGATGCCACAGCGATCTTTAAGAAAGGACAATGCACCTGGTTAGTGTAGGCAGGGGAGGCCAAAATCTTCAGATGTTCCACACAATAACTTTCAATAGATGTGAAGTGTTACAGAAGTCCTTTTGTATGAATGAATAATCAGGTTGAATAATCAGGTTGAATGAATAATCAGAAGTCCTTTTGTATGAATGAATAATCGTGCCGCTCTGTATTGATTTCAATACCTCTTTGAACACCATGTTGGAATTTTGCATGGGCTTGCTTCTGGGAAACACCATTCCATATTGGGTATTAACCATGTATTAAACAAATGATGCAATATTTGTCTACTTACTCAAATTAATTCAGGCTGCAACCACATGGAGCTTTTGCTTCCATTTTGCGTCTAATTTAGGGTGTTGGACATCATTCCCTAATCATCCACGGCTGCAACCACATGGAGCTTTTGCTTCCGTTTTGCGTCTAATTTAGGGTGTTGGAATCCGTTTTCCACGTTTCTCCTCCATTTTGCTAGAATTGTTCCCAAATCCAGTTTCATATGGTCTTTTAGGGGAAAATATCAGTCACGCTGCACGAAAAGGTGTAGTTTTTCATTTTCCACTCACTTCAGCACCATCTTCCTTGCCCAAGGCCTCTGCAGTTGCCACCTCCCACCACTAGAGGGCTTTTAAAATGAAAATTGACATTTCAGTACAGTATGGATATATCAATTAACAATTTTTTAAAAGAGGCCTCTGGTGGCTTGGGAGGGATTGGTGACTGCAGAGGGTGGAGGCGGACAGGGACTGAAGCAAGGAAAGAACAGGAAATGCTATGCAGTCACTGTGTCTTCCCTACTTCTTGGTTACAAATGCTGAGGAAACCCACTGACTATATTAGAACTGCTCCAGAGTAACGTACCTTACAATATCATTTATGAAACTAATTTCATGTGAAGAAGAGAGATACTTGTTACACGGCATAATACACACACACACACACTCACTAGTGAGCTAAAAATAAAAGGCACCTCCTAAATTGTGTATTCTCACTTTTATGATTAACAAGGATTAGTTTTCCAGTACAGAGAAGGATATTTATCAAGTTCCTAAATACAGTTTTTTGGGGAAAAGTTGGTAAAATTCTGTACAAAGACTGATGGAGCCCAATGTATGTATTTGCCATACTTTATACTGCCAAAAACATGCCTGGGCTAATGTGGCTTTATGCTCCTCACTAGGCTAGATAGGAAAATACAATCCTGTAGTTAGGGAACACAATGCTGCCTGATCCTATGTTTCTTTACTTGGAAGTAAATCCCACTGTTTTCAAAAGGTTTTAGTCCCAAATATGCATGTCTGCAGACAGTGATGAAAGTCTTGTGTAGGCACTATGCCTCAGAATTAGCAGACTGATGATACAAGTATTTCATAATTTTTTTGTAGCAAAATTTTAAATGTTCATATCCTACTTTTACTAAAAGCACAAAGGAATCTCGTGGCACTTTAAAGACTTAACAGATTTATTGTGTTCTAATCCACAAACATTTATGCCACAAATCTGTTCAGAATCCTTCAACAGGCTGACACAACTTCTCCACTTGATTCTACATGACATAATTTGTCAGAGAGCTAAATACCCCAATAAAAAAGGTAAAGGTTCCCTTGCTCGAAAGCCAGTCGAATCCGACTCTAGGGTTGCGGTGCTCATCTCCATTTAAAAGCCGAAGAGCCAGCGCTGTCCGAAGACGTTTCCGTGGTCATGTGGCCGGCATGACTAAACACCAAGGTGCACTGAACACTGTTACCTTCCCACCAAAGTGGTACCTATTTATCTACTTGCAATATCTTGCTTTCAAACTGCTAGGTTGGCAGGAGCTGGAACTAGAGATGGGCGCTCACTCCATCATGCGGCACCCGGGTCTCGAACTGCTGAACTACTAACCTTCCACAGCCTGCAGTGGAAATACCCCAATAGGCAACTGTAAAACAAACTGTAACCAGACTAATCAGCATTAATTTACACATTAGGCTAACTGTATTTAGGGCTAACTGTATTTAGGGTTTTTTAGTTCACAATATATTTATTTACTTATTTATTATTTCGATTTATACCCTGCCCTCCCCGCAAGCAGGCTCAGGGCGGCTAGCATAAGTCGGTACCCAGTACCGTAAAACCATATACAAAGATTAAAATATTTAAATATAAACATTAACAGTAAACATTAGAACACTCCAATAATTAAAGTGCTAGTGATGGTATCATCTTTGGCTAAATGAGATGGCATACTACCAGTTCTTTCCAACTTAGTGATCTTCAGCATAGAGCGATGATGTAATATGCTCTCCAGACCCGGCCCGGCCCGTAACTATAGATGTTGGTAGTGGTGGTGGTGTGGCGACTCCTAATTGAGAGCCTGGTGGAAGAGCTCCATCTTGCAGGCCCTGCAGAAGTTCCGCAGGGCCCTGATCTCTTCCAGGAGCTCATTCCACCAGTATGGAGCCACCACTGAAAAGGCCCTGGCCCAGGTGGCAGCAAGCTTGGCGTCCTTAGGGCCTGGAATGGTCAGTCGGTGTTGTGTTCCTGCCCGTAGTGCTCTCAGCCAGTTCTTCACTTAATATGCAGTATGATAGCTGTTTCTGTGAGGCTGGGTTTAAGATGTTCCGATGACATTTTTAATGGGGAGGTCACATGGGACAAACCGATAATGTCGCTGTTGCCCATCCTATCACCACACCTTCCTGGAATCCATCCACTAATTTTGGTTCAGGAAGTGGCACCATCATTTATTTGATTTTTATCCTACCCTCCCAGCATATACACCCTTTCCCCTGTTAAGTCTTATTGCATTTTAGCAGTAGTTTTATGGCACCTTTACAGCAGCTGGCAAAGAGTGGGCTCTTCTGCATTCTGATTTTCATCACTTGTGTTGCTTCAGGGTTTTCCCCCTCCAATGTGTTTTGCTGTCTCTAGTAGTCCCAGAGGGAGCAAAACACATGTGGAAAAGGGGGGGGGGGATGGACCCAAAGCAACAGGGACAAATGAGTGACAAAAATGAGTGTGTGGAAGAGCCCAGACTGTCAGCAGAGGCAGACTGCTTTCCATCTTGGCCAGGTTTGCCACAATTTTCTGCCATACTCCAGAATCATTCAATCAGGATATAGATTTGAGTCCAGTATCACCTTTAAGACCAACCGACAAACAAAAGCTTATACCCAGAACAAAACTTTGTTGGTCTTAAAGGCACCACTGGACTCAAACTTTGTTTTGCCGCTTCAGACCAACATGGCTACCCATCTGGATCTATCGATATAGATAAGTGTTTGCTTTTCTCTACACATTTTAGGTTTTGCTGGATCTTGTATGATTTGAAGAATAAATACTTTGCAGTTAAGCACAGGTGTTTGTGTTCTACTATTCTCATTACACAACACTCTCTGAGTTTTATTTATTCCCACCTCAAGTCCTGTGACTGTAAGCCTTGTTTAGGAAACTTTAGACAAATCACTATGTAAGCAAGTTGTGGTACTGTCAGCACAAACGCAGCAGCAGAATCCCTCAAGTCTTGGCTAACTCTCAGGCCAGCCCCTTGAACATCTTGCACTAAGACTGCGTTTTAAGTAATGTCAAAAGCTAGACTAAAGCCTTGAAGAGCAGACAAGCCTATAGTAGGCATTTCTCTCTCACACACCCCCTCCGAGATCTGTGAGGGTCCTTGGGTCCATCTAGCTATCACGAAAATGGGGGAGGTGGCAACGTGAGAGGCTGACGAGGAGGAAGAGACGAGGACAACGCAAAAGGCAGCCATTAGGGAGAAGAGGCCTACAGCCCTTTCCGGAGGCTTCCCGATCCTCAGGTTGGGGGCCAGTTTCGCCGCCTTTGCCCCTTCCAGGATTTTTATACTTCTAAAGAGCTGCACAAGCTGTAGAGACTCGCCCCAGGAAGACTACTCACGCCTCACTCGTCGAACTTTCTTTTACTAAAGAGAAAGAGGCGGTAACCACCCCACCAAAAGACGGATTCTACGTCGGCGACTGTCCCACTCCGCCCTCTCGATAGGCGGCCAAGCAACAAGTCCCTCGTAGCCAGAGAGCGCGGCGCTGACTGGGGAAGACAGGCCGTCAGTCCCGCCCCGTTCCGTTCGCTGTTTCCCCGCCTCGGAGGAAGCCCGGAGTGGCCGGCCTTAACTCACGCGGCAGCCCACGTGCCGGTCCCCGGCTGAGCGCTGGCAGGTTTGTATGAAGAGTTGGGGAGGGAGCTTTGCGCGCGGCCTGGGACGGAGGATGACTCCCGCCCACCCCACGGGGCCTGTCCCCGCTCTTATCCGGCGAGGGATGTACTAAAAGGAAGGAAGGAAGGACAGGATTGCACATAGGAAATAATGGGAGACGCTGGACCCCGGGGCTCAGAGAGGCGGGGGAACGTATCACGCCACTCCCCCTCACGGCCGTTGCTGCCGCCGCCTGCACGCCGCCTACTTGTACTCTAATATTTTCTAATGGAGCCCATGCAAGTCTATTAGCTTCCATGTCAGAGTAGGTATTCAAGCCAGGGTCCTAGTTTGATACACTAACCATAGTTTCATGCTAGCTCTCCATGAATGATTCCTGATTTTACAAACAGAGAGAGCACTCTGTACATGTTCAGCTGTAAACGTGTAGTTTCCTTGTAGGCATTCAGCCGAACACTCATTGGTACCTTCCCCATATTCCATGGACCCTCCCTGGAATTATCTCCTGTGAACAGGCTTTGTAGAGGCACACTGTGACTGGGATGGTTACAGATTAGATGTTTGAGATTAGCTGTGGGAATGCAGAAATAGCTCTTGAAATAGCAGCATGTTTTCAGTTCAAATCACAGCTCATCTGTGATGTTAATAACTATGCAAGCATTCTCTTTCAAACCTCAGCCCACCATCTACAGATTTAGAGGGTTGTTGTAAATGTTGTACCACAAAGTACTTTGAATACTCTAAACTACTTCATGCTAAGGAATGAGTGCTCCCTTCTACTCTTTAAAGTTGATCCTTATTTCACATTACTTATTTCGCATTACCAGTTTTTCATACCAATCAAGAAAATTCTGTTTCCAGAGACAAGCACCACAGATCTCCAGTTGCTTTTATTTATTGACATTCTGATCTGGTAAGTCTCAAATGTATGTGAGAAAAAATTCTAGCTCTCCCCACCACCATCATTGTACATTTGCCAGTTTTCTCTCAGTGCTTTGTTTTCTTAAATAGGAAAAGAAGGGAGCATAAGTGGTACCGTATTAAAATATTTAGTCAAAGATGTAGCAGGCAGGAGAGGGAAATAATGTTTTATACATTACCTTCGTTGCCCGGGGGGACTGCAGAGGTTGCTAAAAGGCATGATGGTGACGTGTGCACAGCACCTCTGAGCTCCTTTAAAAAAGGATCTCAAAATGCTTTACATAATGGCAGCATTAACACAACCTCTGTGGCTGAAACCAGCTGCTAACAAATAAGCGGCACTTCCCCAACAGAGAGAGTGGGAAGGTTAGTTGAGGATGCCAGGCAATTATCATTGTCATAGAATATGTCATGGGAGCTAAAGGAGCCAGATAGACCAACATTTTAAAAGCTTTATCTTGGAGCCAGATGTGTTCAGTCAGATAACAAAGGCTTGAAGGGCTGAGGTGACTCTGCTGAGATTCGATTAAGTTTTTTTTTCCCAGATAGCTTCTCTTAGAAACCTAGAAGACTAGCCTTGGGTTTATAGCAGAAAAACACACCTTGGGCCTAAATGTGTGCAATAACAACTCTGTTAATACTGATGCAGATGAGTATGTACATGATTCAGTGTCTCACTAACTTAAAGTCTAGTGCTTTGCACTGAACATGCAAACTGCCATCAATGTCATGTGTTGTGTTTGTAATTGAACTTTGGTGGGTCAGTGGCCTCTCACACTTGAAAAATGTTTCTTTCTCTGGGACTGAGGAAAGAGTGTCCATGTGTAAACCCCCAGTGTCTAGGAATGGCACTTTTAAATTTTGTCTCAAGTATGTATCACCTTTGAGTACTTTGAGTGGGGTTCCATTGTTTTTAGAACTATAGGGTTGGCCAACTCTCTTCAAGGTTTAAATATTTGAAGGGCCTCTGTGTACTCTGCTTCTCTGAATAATCCCTGGGAAACTAAGGCTGACGTCCCGTATGAGCAAGTTCCATGAACCTTGTGAGTAAGTTTCTTGTAAGCAATTTTGTGGAACTTGTATCTGTGTATCTGAAGGCTATTTTTTTATTTTGCTAGACAGTGCAACAGTCTGTACACCTTTGCCCTCTATAGATAATATTTGGAGATAATCTATCCTGTAAAGGCTAGTCTGGCTAGTCATGTTTAAAAGTTATGGCCAGACACCCTCATCCTATGCTTACTTAGAAGCAAGTTCTGTTAGACCAGTGAAAAAGTCCCAGCATAGCTTGCAATCATGTCCATGCTCAGTTCCATTCATTTCAAATTTACTTCTAAGATAAACATGCATAGAATTGGATTGATAATTTCTGGGTTGCTTGCACAGGATCATGCCCAAGAAAGGAAGGAGACAGACTGGAACAGTGGAGGAACACCAGACACCCTGCAAGCAAGCAAGAGGTGAAGCCGTGTGCCCTTTGCTTATGAAATGTGACCATCCAGAAAATGTATTTGAGAGTCTGATCTTTCCTGTCAAACAAGAGGAATTTTTCAGAGACTACTGGGAGCAGAAGCCACTGCTTCTTAAGAGAGAGGACCCCTCCATGGCATCCTGCTATCGGTCTCTGTTTCAGTTAAATGACCTGAAAAGCTTAGTCAGTCAGGGTTTATGTTATGGAAGGGATATTAATGTCTGCAGATGTGTGAACGGGAAAAAGAAGATTTTTAACAAAGATGGCAAAGTCAACTACAGACAGCTAAAGAAAGATTTTGATCACAAAAAAGCTACAATACAATTTCATCAACCCCAGCGATTCAAGGTGAGTTTTTGTAGTTACCTTATTTTGTGGTGGCTTTTGCAAGTGTAATTTTGAGCTAAGGCAGGCATATACTTAACTGAGGCCTTGGGATCTCATGTGCTTACTCTCCGTCTGGGTTCAATGTTATGTGTGACTGTCACCAGCCCAGCTGGAAAAGAGCTTAGGGATATTTCTCGAAAGAAAAAAAGAAAGAAGAAAATTGTTCTATATTGTGTGCTTTATTATTCCTTCTGGACACACAGTTACTCCTGTGATAACAAGATGTCAGCTAAGGTATGAACTTCAATAAATTGAAATATGGGGACTTAATATCACGTAATGCAGCTTGTCTATAGGCACAGTTTTCAAATTCTGTAGTAAGAAATGAAGTGCAGGTTTTCTTTTTTCCTAAGCATTTAGCATGCCAAAAGATTAATTAGTTTGCATCGCCTTGGGGGGGTGATTACGGAAGTTGTCTCAGATGTCATCTTTGATGCTTAATTGCATATTCTTGGAAACAGTATATATTAAATCTTGCTTGGCATTAGAAATTCTGGGAAATGATACAAAGTATACTTAGTTTACTAGATTGACATTCATTGTAAGTCTAATGAAGCTACAAGGAGTGTCAGTTTTACAGGATAACTTTAATTCATTTAGAGCTACCGAAGGGAGGTCAAGCCAATATTTTTAGTGTAAGAGGAAGAATGGTTCAGGTCAGTATGGTATTTGAATCTTTGGAAGAAATTGTCACACCTGGTGAATTGAGTGGAAGCTCACTAGCTATTAATACAAAAGAGCAAGTGTCCAGTAGCACCTTAAAGACTAACAAAATTTGTGGCAGCTAGAATGTGAGTCCATCTGTCCTATATATTGGAAAGTGGAGTGATTTCAGATGCCAAATGACAATAGCAGATGAATGGGAATAGCGGCCATGATTGGATTGGGTGTGATATGCAGAGAGTTAGTGGGCATGGAGAAGTCAGCACTGGTAATGAGACAGGAAGCTTAGGTCTGTATTCAGTGCAGATGGATGCATTGTCTAACGATTAATACTTTACTTTTATGCACAAGTTCAAGAATTGTTTCCAGGACAATTTGAATATCTGTGACTAAACTCCAGGCTGGGGCCAGTGATGCTCTGTATTCTTGGTGCTGGGGGGGGGGCAACAGTGGGAGGGCTTCTAGTGTCCTGGCCCCACTGCTGGACCTCCTGATGGCACCTGGTATTTTTGGCCACTGTGTGACACAGAGTGTTGGACTGGATGGGCCATTGGCCTGATCCAGCATTGGCTTCTCTTATGTTCTTATGTTCAGTTCATGTAAAGTACAACCTTTGCTTAAAATACAATTCTGGCATTTTTGAGTGGCATAATCTGCTGTAAAATGAAGAGCGTGCCATATGTGAAGAAGGTTGTGTGATAACCAAACCAATATTGATGTATGCCTACTTAATTTGGTACATATCATAGGCATATACTGTGCTTTAAAGGAATTACGCTGCAACTTTCTATATAAATTGTGTAAAAATATTTTGTTCTCAATACTTATGAAGTTGCCTTACACTTAGTGAGACTGTTGGTCTGTTGAAGTGAATACCACCTACTCTTGAGTGGTAGCACCTCTCCAAGATCTCAGGTAGAGATTTTTCACATTAGTCATGACCTGATCCTGTTTTAACTGGAGACCTGGATCTTTCACTTTTTGCATGCCAAGCAGAGGTAATCTACCAGTGAATCACTGCTCCTACCTCCATTCAGCTCTTTCTCATGAACTAATTAGTGAATCTTTTTGTTTGGAACTGCATAGTGAAGTTACTCAAATAAAATGAAACGGGATCACTGTAGTTAATGGGCTGGAGGAGAAAATAAAGTGGACCAAAATGAAAAATGGTTAAGTGGGATGTTCCTTTATTCCAGGAACATTGTGCTTCATAGGATTACATCTGTCTAACATATCTGTCAGTTTTGTTTCTGGTTCCAGTAATGTCAAGTTAATGTATTGTCCAAATTTGATCCTGCCTGCTGTTAGGTTTGCAAATAGTATATCTGTAAGCAGGCAGGCACTCTTGTTGGGGGGGAGGGGCTGGTGTGTGTTGTTCGTTGTGTCTTGCAGGTCATTCAGTCAGCCCAGAATGGTGTAGGTGTGATGGTGAAAAGAGAGAGCCATTGTTTTTGCCTTGCTTACTCTCTCTTTTTCCTTAAAATAAAGGATGAACTCTGGAGAATCCAGGAGAAATTGGAATGCTTCTTTGGCTCACTGGTTGGATCTAATGTTTATATTACCCCTCCAGGGTCCCAAGGCCTGCCTCCACACTATGATGATGTTGAGGTAAGAGGACACAACATTGCCTGTAAGTATCTTGGTCACAACTGTTTTTGTCAGCAGAAATAAACTGACTTCCTGGAAGCCATTGTGTGTGTTTTATATAATAAATGGTGTATGCATTCATACAAGTACATTCTGGTTCATGATAGTTTAGATAAGCTCTATTACTTGTCAGTGTTATGAGGATAGTTTTATGTTTTATAAATAACTGTCAACAAATATGTTTTCTCCAGTGGGGTTACTTTAATGTGGTAGAAACAGGGGGGGGTGTGTTCTTGATGCACCATTGATTTGTGTTCTCTGCAGGTGTTTATTCTACAGCTGGAAGGAGAGAAGCACTGGCAGCTGTACCAACCCACTGTGAATCTGGCTCAAGAATACAATGTTGAACCTGAGGATAGAATAGGAACTCCAACACATGACTTCTTATTAAAGGTACTGGTGCCTGGAGTATGTGGTGTCTAGACTAAAGTTTCTTTCTTTTAAAAGTGTATAAAATCCACTCCCTACTGCCAAGGAAACTTGTCTTCATCCTCTAGACCTTAGAGGAAGGTCATAGTGATCTTGCTTGGTACCTTTATCTCACAATGCTTCTGCTTTCAATCATTTCTTATTTCTTATAGATCTATTCTGTATTATACATATTAGAGAAAGCGTGTGTGGCATAGTTCACGTGCAACAACAGAAATGTGGTCATTATGGGGATGAGCCTGAAATGTCATTGGATTGGTGTGCTCACTTCCCATTTGGAAATAATTTCTTCTTTCACTGCAAACTATTGTTATGTTCAAACAACAATTCATGGTTTGTATACTTCCCTCCAACCTGTACTAATAAGGTGTTTCATTCAGACCTAACAAATCATGGTTTGTTGTGGGTGGAGGATGCCAAGGCTGATTTTTATAATGAGAAACCATGGTTTGCTGTTACTTGTGAATCCTGCTCAACTGTGTAGATGCAGTTGTGTAGTCATGGCTGATTTAATTCAGATAGTATTGTGAATTTCATACATCTTGGAACTCTGCTTGGCTAAAGGTGGCTCAAGGCCTGTCCCCAATGCCAGAGGTTTCTCCACTAGCAGATTATGTCCTATGTTGAGAGAATGCATTACACTTAGCTGATCAGAAAGATATGATATGGTCCACAGTAAAAAATTGTGACTATTCTGTAAATTTAAACATTGCTGGACTTGCAGGATAAATATCCTATCATAATAAATATTTATAATGACATATAACGTTTAGCTGCAGGGTTTGGGGATGGAATACTTTTGCAAGGGTACAGCTGGGCATGGAACTGGGAGGGTTCTGTCAGTTCAGAATGGTAGACTGAGCTGTTTTTGGTGGTGCTGAGAGATTTAAGAAAATATTCACAAGCACAGCAGTGTAGGCCTTTTAAGAGTCCAAATTATAACTGTCTGCGTTCACCCAACTCCTTCCAGCCTGGAGATCTATTATATTTTCCAAGAGGAACCATTCATCAAGCTGACACACCTCCCGGGGGGTCTCATTCTACCCATGTGACCATCAGCACATTTCAGAACAAGTAAGCATTCTCCTTTACCTTTCTAGTGAAGTTTTCTTGCCAGTTACTTTGTGGCAGTGGAAGCTACATGCTCAAAACCAATTGAAATGCTTTTCTTCAAGTGAAATCCTGTGAAGTGCTTGATTGGACAAGCTGAGAACCTGTGCATTGTACTTTATTGATGACCTGTTAGGCTTTTGACCTATGGGCACAGGTTTGCAGCCTTGGTGTTGTCTTGGACCATGCCTTGCTGTTTGATAGGTGTCTGTAGAATGGGTTTCCATTGATTTTTGCAGTTCTAGTTCTGTCCTGAAAGTCAAGGATATTAGCACATTGATCCATGGTTCTTTAATTTCCAGACTTTTCTATAGTGTTCTTTACATGAGGCTGCCCTTGAGGAGTACCTGGAACCTTCAGCTAATGCAAAGTTCTACATTTTATCTCTGGCTAAGGAGGCAGCCTTTACTTTGTTGACTACAGGGCTGGTTCAGTCTAATTCATAGTGCTTGCTTTGGCCTATAAAACTATTCATGATCTGGGTCCCACATTTCACATAATTGGAACAGGGGATCTCTAACTGACCCTGACAAAAAAATCTTTTGTTGAATAAGTAGTCTTTGATTTAAAAAGGGAAAACATACAGTTGAGCAACAATTGACAAATATCTGAGCAAAGGAACATAAAATTGGCAAGATATGCATCCTCTCGGTCTAGGTCTAAAACTTAGTCCCTCTGACGGTAATTTAAGATGTACGCAGAATAATCCAGATTTTTCTTACCCTTTTTCAGCAATCTTGTTGGCCTCTTTCCTTGAGATCCAGCCCCCCTCAAAAGAATTCCAAAATCTTTTTTTGACTCACCATTTATACATTCGACTTATAGACTGCCCACCCCTGTGCACAGGGCTTGGGGCGGTAAACCACAATTCTATTAGATGCATTTGCATATCAATTTAAGACAATTAAAACAATAAAGTACAAACAATTTCAGATGATGCTGTAAATAAATCAAATTGTAACCTTACCCTGTGGGGGGGGGAGAGGAAAGGGATGGAAGTGCCAGACGAGATGGAAACCGTTGCTGTCCTCAACTGTAGGCGTGGTGGAACATCTCTGCCTTACAGGCCCTGCGGAACTGCATTAGGCAGTCCATGTGCTGTGGACTGCCTCAAAATGATACAGACTCTCTGTCTTTGAGATCCTTTCCATGCTATTCTTTAATCAGCCAGATTCCAGAAAGTTCCTGCTACCTTCGTTGAATATGTGCTGCATCCCCCACCACAAGGCTATACCTGGCAAACTCCATCTCTCTTGATAGAGAGATCTCTTATATTTTTATTGACAACTGGCTAGGTTTCCAGAAACTGGAAGGTAGAAGAAAAAACTTGTTTTATGGCCTTTTGACTTGACTTAACTGTGAAAGTTCCAGGTTAGCCCCTGAGCATCCCCAGTGTGCAAATTCACCTTGCAAAGCAGTATACTTGGGGTGAGGCGTCTTTTCACTTCAAAGGGTTATAAACCCTTTTTTACACATCTTCTGAGACCTCTTATATTTTTATTTAACTGGTTGTTTTGTACTTTTACGGTGCTTTGTTCAGTTTTTAGTTTAGTTTTCACTAGCTATTCATGGGGTGGTTTTTTCAATTATTTTGTCGTTGTAAACTTTCAAATATTTGTAGTAAAAGTGGCATATAAATATATAAACACGTGTCTTTCCTGTTTGGAAGGTTACTTCATAATAAAGAAAAGTGAACTACAAGGAAATCATTGTTTGTGGTCACATGCATCACACAATCAGATAACCAATTTATGATTACAGTTGTTCTTTGTGTCACCGCATTGCTTTCTCACATTCACACTCTATGAGGAAGCATTGGCAGCCCAAGGGAGGAGTTGTGCATCTTCCCTGTTACCTTGTAGGGTATTCTGCATGTTTTTCTGAAATACACGAGGGAAAGCACAGCTTCTTCCTTTGTGCTTCTTCTTTCAATGTTTTCTTGTTATATGCAAAGCCGTTCTTTAGCCATTGGACTTGGCCACATAACGAGATAGTTTTGTATTCAGTGTTTGGTGTAGTGGTTAAGTGTGTGGACTCTAATCTGGGAGAACCGGGTTTGATTCCCCACTCCTCCACTTGCACCTGCTGATGTGACCTTGGGTCAGTCACAAGCTCTGGCACAGCTGTCCTTGAAAAAGAGCAGTTTCTGTCAAGAGCTCCGTGTGCGTACTCTAATCTGGGAGAACCGAGTTTGATTCCCCACTCCTCCACTTGCACCTGCTGATGTGACCTTGGGGCAGTCACAAGTTCTGGGACAGCTGTCCTTGGAAAAGAGCAGTTTGTGTCAGAGTTCTCTCAGCCCCACCCACCTCACAGGGTGTCTGTTGTGGGGAGGGGAAGGGAAAGGAGTTTGTAAGCCGCTCTGAGACTCCAAGTGAAGGGTGGGGTATAAATCCAATCTCTTCTTCTTCTTCTTCTTCTTTGTCTACAGTATGTGATTAGAAAGTACAAGACGGGGACCTGCGAGGGGGATTTAAACATCCCCCCGAATTTTTTTTCTACTTTTAGCATTTTTGTGCACACGTGGGGACTGGCCCACATGTGCACAAACCTCCCCCTCCCCCCAAGTGCCCCCAGAGCACTGATTTAGCGATCCGCACTCCGGGGGCAACTTGGCTATTAGATATATAGATTAGATTAGAAGAACTATTGCTTTTTCAGTTTCTTAACCATTGAAGTTTCTAGGAGTTCTTTAGAGAGAGAAAATTAAATAGTTCAATAGCCTAAAAGCAAGTGTTTTTTGTTTGTGTGTGTGGTGGTAGTCACTGGTACTGGCATCTGTATTGGGGGCTCTGCCAGTTCCTGAGGAAAAAATGGGTAGAAATCATTGCAGCCTTAAAAAATAAAAAAGCACTGCCTAAATGTAATTCTTAGCCAGCACTGAATGACTGACAAGGAACATCTTTGAAAATGAAGGCTGATTAATTACTGAAGCATAGCAGGTAGGCAGATTTTGTTGGTTAAAATGAGCACTGTATGGAGATAGTAAACATTTCCTTAACACCTGGTCAGACTAGAGGACATTTAATAAAATTAATCCGACACTTAAAAGGAGTCCCATATTAGCATGAGGAATAGCTGATCCTTGTCGCTCAGGATGTGGTAATGATAAATAGCATAACTGGGGTCCTGTAGGGTTCCATCTTCTCTCCCGTGCTGTTTAGCATCTATATGAAATTGCAGGGAGGGATCATCTGGAGATTTGGAGTGAGGTGCCCCCTAAAGGCAGGTGACATCCAGCCCTGTTTCTGCTTAACAGCTGAGTCAGGTGGGTCTGTGGCAGGGCTGTAGCCAGCTGGAGGGGGCACCCCCTTTTGGATTTGCTTAAGTCACTTAAACTCCTTACCCCATGTCAAGAAATCACTAATTGGGAGGGAGGGGTGATGAGGGGAGGGGGAATTGCTGAAACAAGTCCTGCGGCCAGGCTGCCACTTGCCTGTGCCAACGTCTTCAGTCACCAGGAACATGGAAGGTAAGCCCCTGGACGACCCTCCCCTGCCAAGGGCGCCATCGGGTGGGCTGCCGAAACTGGGGGTTCTTTGCCTTCCATGGGAGCCAGAATCCCAGGCAGGGGCCTCCTCTAGAGAGGAAGGTTTTCCCTCTCCTCCCCACCCCAAGCATGCTGCGATTTGTGGCTGGCTCTCTTGGCCTTCCCCACCCAAGACCCTAGCAGTGCAGCATCAGGAGGGCCCTAGCCAAACTTCTTCCAGTTAGTTAATTTAATTTAATTAGCAACACCCCCCTGATGCCCCGGTGGCCCTGAAAAAAGTTCCTGGCTATGGAGCTGGTCTGTGCAAGTTCAAATAGGTACCAAATGAATATATTGCTTTTTCAGTTTCTTAACCATTGAAGTTTCTAGGAGTTCTTTAGAGAGAGAAAATTAAATAGTTCAATAGCCTAAAAGCAAGTGTTTTTTGTTTGTGTGTGTGGTGGTAGTCACTGGTACTGGCATCTGTATTGGGGGCTCTGCCAGTTCCTGAGGAAAAAATGGGTAGAAATCATTGCAGCCTTAAAAAATAAAAAAGCACTGCCTAAATGTAATTCTTAGCCAGCACTGAATGACTGACAAGGAACATCTTTGAAAATGAAGGCTGATTAATTACTGAAGCATAGCAGGTAGGCAGATTTTGTTGGTTAAAATGAGCACTGTATGGAGATAGTAAACATTTCCTTAACACCTGGTCAGACTAGAGGACATTTAATAAAATTAATCCGACACTTAAAAGGAGTCCCATATTAGCATGAGGAATAGCTGATCCTTGTCGCTCAGGATGTGGTAATGATAAATAGCATAACTGGGGTCCTGTAGGGTTCCATCTTCTCTCCCGTGCTGTTTAGCATCTATATGAAATTGCAGGGAGGGATCATCTGGAGATTTGGAGTGAGGTGCCCCCTAAAGGCAGGTGACATCCAGCCCTGTTTCTGCTTAACAGCTGAGTCAGGTGGGTCTGTGGCAGGGCTGTAGCCAGCTGGAGGGGGCACCCCCTTTTGGATTTGCTTAAGTCACTTAAACTCCTTACCCCATGTCAAGAAATCACTAATTGGGAGGGAGGGGTGATGAGGGGAGGGGGAATTGCTGAAACAAGTCCTGCGGCCAGGCTGCCACTTGCCTGTGCCAACGTCTTCAGTCACCAGGAACATGGAAGGTAAGCCCCTGGACGACCCTCCCCTGCCAAGGGCGCCATCGGGTGGGCTGCCGAAACTGGGGGTTCTTTGCCTTCCATGGGAGCCAGAATCCCAGGCAGGGGCCTCCTCTAGAGAGGAAGGTTTTCCCTCTCCTCCCCACCCCAAGCATGCTGCGATTTGTGGCTGGCTCTCTTGGCCTTCCCCACCCAAGACCCTAGCAGTGCAGCATCAGGAGGGCCCTAGCCAAACTTCTTTGTTAGCTAATTTAATTTAATTAGCAACACCCCTCCTGATGCCCCGGTGGCCCTGAAAAAAATTCCTGGCTATGGAGCTGGTCG